ATATTTTTTTAATACTGGGTTTGTCCCTAATCACATTTTTATTTGACATTGCATTAGATGTTAGGATGTGTGCGCCTATATTCCTGTGTTGTGACTTCTCTCCAATCACAACTTTTTGGCATAAAATTGGTCAAAATATCAACTTCATTTGTCTTCTTGACGAGTTGTAGTATGGTTCTAAGAATGGTAAGGTTCACGGACGATGCCGGTGAAACGTCTGGGACTATATTAAGTCGACTGTCCGGCCCTGGAATTTCTCTTGGAAACTGGAGTCCGGATAAAGTGCGCTACTCTAGGTCGCCCTGACAATTTAATCAAATCTTAAAAACAAGATTAAGCAACTTCCTTACATCGAATGGAGACTGTGACTACAGTAAAGGCCATGCCATCTTGGTCTTTCTACCTTTTCCAATACATTTTTGTTTTCTTTACAGACTTGTTTTTACTTATTATAGGAACCCAGAGCAAATGGCTATCCGTCTCTCAACTGGCGCTCTCAATTCAGATTTGATCTCTCCTGCTCGTCTCTCTTCTGGGGCAACCATCAATAATCCTGATTCTGATTTACCTCATTCAATCTTCTCACGGCTTGGAGCCCCTGCGTCTTCATGCATTTCACGAGTACCAATATCCTCAACTAGACTGACTCGATTAAATGAATCAGCGAAGGATACACCCTCCACCAAAGGCCTAACTCCGAGCACCAACCGGATCACGGCAAGCAAATGTAATACGCATACCAGTGTGGTTCTTCGTCGTATACTCGACAGGAGTCTCTCATCGGTCGGCATGGTAGTGCCAGCACAGGTTCCTGTCAATGGTATCGGCAAGCTTGACAGCAAATCATCTGCCATTAAGAGACGAGTAACCACATCCGTTTCTATTCTGATTTCGAATGCTTTTTTTTGATGTTGTTCTATATTCTTCTAAAATTACGTACATTTAAGATTAATCCTTGTGTTTTTATAACCTATGATCCTATGAAAACTCTCTCACTAAACTAAGAGAATATGGAAAATTTTCCTGGTGCACTCTAACCTGCGTTATTGTTTTGAGGATGAGTAATTATTTTTCCTTTTCTTTCAATATACTCTTTTATATAATGTTCTTAAAATGTATTTATATCTCCCTATAAGAAATTTCGGCGACGATAACGCGGCACAAACCATCTCTTAA